GGGGGGGTGGGGGGGGGGAGAGTAGCGATTTTTTTTCTGTTTTGCTGGAGCCAGGGAAAGGTAGGAAGGTGCTTTTCTTGTTTCCAGCCACATAGGTACTTCCTTCACCTGGTAGGGCTTTTTAAAACAGTCTGAGGTGAAAATCTGGTCTTGTGTGGTTATATACAGATTGCTGCTTTGCTGTATTACCCTAGTAGGTTCAGGACTGTGAAACTGACAGTGACCATTCTTGGGAAATCCCGAAGAGAAGGGAATGTCTGTGAGCTGTGTGTGCTTGTCTTTTGCTCCCCCGGTACCTGATGAAGTGTATTTATTTTTTGTAATTTAGAAAGAGGGAAGTGTGTTTCTGTGAAAACTGGAACCAATTATTTCACCTGACTGTCAGTGCAGTGTGTGCTTTTAAGAGCCTCTTGGCCTAAATTGGTTGCAGTATTGTTTATTTTTTGTTTTCCTTTTAGGCCGTTTTCAGGCTAAGGTCTTTTGTGTACGACTACGCCAGTTCTTAAACAAAGTGCACTGGCATAGAGCAGTTGCCTTGCGCCTGAGACTTCTGCCTCCCTTTTTTTTTCTTTCTCCATGAAACTCTTTTCCTAAAACTCCAGCAAAATGGCTGCAGTACTTTATTTGCAATGGTTTGGATTAGGCTGAGGCTTGTTCTTGAACTCTGTACCTGGCAGTCACCTGAACTGTAAATACGAAAATTCTGGTAGCTCGGAGTCAGGTGTCAGGTTTGGACGTTGGATTTGTTACAGCTGCCTCCCTGCTCCCTTCGGCGTGTGTGAAGGAAGTTGTCTGCCTACCGTGGATCTGCAGGCAGTCACCTGTGGTTCTGGTCTTGCAAAACTTATGTAGTGCTTTCTTCAGTTTCCTAAGAGAAGGCAAGTCGAAGATTTACAGATATGTTCCTGAAAGGGTTCTGCTTTGCGCTAGAGAAAGAATAGTCTTAGTGCTGCGGTGAAGAAACATGTATTTTTTTTATTTTTTCCCAAGGTGGGCTAGGATGCATGGTGTGGCACACAGTAAAGACCAACTCCCGGTGTATCCATGTTAATGTATCTTTGGGATCTAATTTTTAGGGACATTCGATGTTTGAAAGAAGTGCAGGTTAGGTCAATGTTTCTAAATAAATTACTTTCCACTTCAGAATGTAAAATACATAGTTCCGAATGGTGTAAATTCCCCTGTATGCATGTCCCTGTTTTGGATTCCTCAACAATTTTTTTTTTTTTTTTGAGTCTTGGATCAGGATTTCTTTGACTAGGCCATGATCCTGCATTTTCTCCAAACAGTGGAGTCTTATCTTCATAGTTACATCACTACCCTACCCAGTTAATTTTTTTCCTTCCAAATTCCTCATGTTAATACAGTCTTTATTTGAGCAGGAGTCACTGCCACTTCCTTGGTTGTCCTTGGGTCATTATTTTTGGTGTTTAAAATAACTACAAACTCTTCTGTACAATTAAGTCTATACATTGGACTTTTTTATTTTTCTCTTTTGAAAATAAAATACCTTGCTTGATAGTTTGGGGAAATAGTTAAAAGTTGCTATGTGTTTCATTGATCTGGGAATATTTTTTTCTGAACATTTGCATCCTGATCTCTCTCTCACGATAACAGTTGAATTATAATATTGGTTTTGATCCCATTTTTAATTTACTGAGTTTGAGGTGTTGGGTTTTTTTTCCAATTTAAAATAAAATAAAATGTGAAAGCGGTATATAACGGTCATTGCTAATGTATTAGATGTATTTGACACCTTGTTTCTTTTTCATGACAGCCAGCCAGAAGAACTCAGGATGAGTAAAAACGATAATTTTGACATTCAAAGTCTGTGTAAGTAAGGTTTTTATTAAATAGTTACAGAAATCTTCAATCTGCATATAAAATACCAATTATAACGTGCTTTATTTGGGCTCAAAGAAGAGGTCGATTTTCAGTAGTCAAATTGTGTTGGAACCACTGTCTCAGGGCATAAAAAAGAAATAACTTGTAAATGTCCTTGGATTTGTTTGCTGAAATTGCAGTATTTAAAAATAGTCTTTTCTGCAGAAGTTTTAAGAAAGTAACCTTGGGAATTTAGGTGCCAAATCACACACAGCCGTGTTTGAGATGTATCATTCAAGACTTTCTTAGGGTGAAGCAGTACCTCTAATTGTCATCACTACTATGACTGTTCTTGTTGTTAGAATGTTGAAAATGTATCTTACATATCTATTGAGAATTGAAGGGAAGATATTAAATGTCTGTGGAAGTATGTTAGTGGGCTAGGAACCGCAGAAATGGGGAAATCCTCAAGGTTTTAGCTGACTCCAATGTTACCTCAAATCCCTGAATGTTTTGAAACTAGCATACGTTTTAAAAGCACTGGTAGCACATGACTTGATACAGTCAGGATACCATTCATATGCTTTTCACAAAGGTTATCACACAGGTATACAAAGAAACAGTTAAGTTGCCTCATGGATTCTAATATGGTGATGTCTTTATATATAATACTAAAAAGGATTAGATGACATATTTCACATGCATCTGGAGCTTGTTGGCTGTTTGATAATTATCTTTGGGTGTTTTGGGAAGAATGTTGTAGTTGGGAGAACGATTGGCTTGTGAATTTAGCTTGGGTGATAGCCCTCTCCTGAACCAGCAGGCAGGTGGAACTGGTGAAGTATTTTCAGACACTAGAGAAGGAACAAATAGTACCCTCTTCTGTATTTACTATGAAATTCAACATTAAGGAGAGAGGGATATCTACTGTCCTTTATCCAGTAATCTCCTTCAAGATGCATGTGATTAAAAGAGATTAAAGTTACTTCTGTACAGCTGATCCACAGTAATTTCAGTACATTCACTGTGATTATAAACATGATTCTATATTTTAGTCTGTGTTCTCTGTGGACGGACAGATGACTGCCCTGAAAAGTATGGAGAAAAAAGGACCTATGTGGAATACGATCTCACTGTTCATTATTACTGTTTGGTAAGTATGTGGTATTGATCTTGGAGCTTGTCTGTTGTAAGTGGGGAAAAAAAAGTAAATGCAACAAGTATTAAATAGTAATAACCTGTCCAAACAGTTGTTGTAACAGTTGTTGTAACAGTTTTGTGGTAAAGCTTGAACTGTCAGCTTTAACCTGTAGCCTTGAAGGCTTGTACTTGTCAGGTGCACCAGATGAAATAAATAAATCCTAACAAGCCTTTATTCAAAGCTAAGTTCTGTTCATGATCCATTTAAATGAATTAGTTAATTCTCCCAACCTATCAGAGCAATGAAGGTACATGTTAAGAAAAAGGGAACAGATTGCACCTACATATTTGCTTCTGTAAGAGAAGTGTAGTTTCAAAATTTGGAGTGTGAAAATTCCACCCCTTGTGGAAAAAGTAGAGAAAAGTTGTCTTTTTTTTTTCTCGTTTCTCATTAGTTCTTGTTTGGCTGTGAGTTCTCTGACGTTACATAGGACATTGTAACGCTTGAGAAATAGTCCTGCTTTTCAGTTTAGTAATATGCACCCTACTGATCATATACAGCTGCAGTATCACTATGTAGTAAAAGCTTATAATTTGAACAAAGCTATGATATAAACTACAGCTGAGTATCTTTTGTCATCACACTTGACATTTTCCAAGATTCATATTCTTAAAGATATACTTAAACTACCTTTCAAACTCTTAAATTTTTCTAGGTCTTTAAATTAATGACTACCTTAAAAAAAAAACCTGGGATTTTTGTTTGTTAATAAATAGATTTTGAAATGCTTTCCCAAGTTTAAAAAAAACAGTCTCAAGAATATCAAGAACAATTTGGGAGTTTTGTTTGCGTTTTTTTTCTCAACCAGTTCTTTAAAGATTGTGTTGATTGAAGATGGCTTAATAGGTTGGATATTGAATCCTTTAAAGACTAGGCAGAGTGGAAGCTTTCTGAAGCGTAAAGATAGATTTTTTTTTTTCTTAAATTCTAAGCAGCTGGAAGGAAATTCAGGTCTGTTCATGATAATTTTGTGTCATACATAAGGCCGTATGAAATGATAGGAAGAAGTCCTTTCCTGATGGAGCAGAACAGCTAGAAAAGGGCATGCTGGCAACACCGAGCCTTATGATTTATAAGATATTTTACAGTGATCAGCTTCCTGCAGTCACCTTTTAGGTTTTGGTTCCTGCTGCTTTTTAAAAACAAACAAAACCCTGTGATTTTACTTAAATATACTGAATATTATATAAGAAGAGAGTTCTAGAAAGAGGCCCATTAGTGGTGCAGTTTCATTTCTCTTTGCCAAATGTCTCACGTTTGGAAAAAAAATATATTCTTAATTGGCCTTGGTATAAAATTTTACATTTATTGGACTAAAATATTGATAAAACTCTCTAGTTAGAAAATGGTGCTATGTTGAAATTATAAAATGAGATTGTGAAGACTGTAGGAGTCATCAAGTTGTGAAACTATTTAGTTATTTGAAGTTTGTGAAGTAACTGCCTTACTTAGTAACTTTAAATTATCATCAGGCTCTTCTGACTTGCCTAGTTACTTGATTCTGTTTGTATTTAATTCTCTAAAGTGAATTACTTTTCCTCTTCGGTTGCACTTCAGTACACATACTTCCTACTGTGCTTCATTATCTCCACAGCACAATTGTCATTCACATTAACTAAACTAATTTAATTTTACTTCCTTTGAAGCTTTATATGCTGAAAGTAATTGTTTGACAATTATCTGAATAGTCCATATACTTCAAAAGCGAAGGTAAAGTACACCTTCTTGGGCTCCACAGTATTATGTAAGACTTTGATGTTATGAAATGTATATTTTCATGTTACTGGTTACTATTCCCTATTGTGTCACGTCAGACAAAAATATGTAGATGTTTTGGATCAGTTTTTTAATCATTAAAATGTTACACAGAGGCTTTGTTAGGCTAAACTCTTACTTGACAAACACAGTGTAGGTAATTTAAAATCTTTAGGTAGGTGAATGTTTTAAAATACTTAATTTGTTTTCATAGTTGATGTCAAGTGGCATTTGGCAGAGAGGGGAAGAAGGTGAAGGTGTGGATGGATTCTTAATCACCGACATTAGAAAAGAAGTAAATAGAGCTGCAAAACTGGTAAGAATGAAGTATTTGGTATTTACAAGGGGGGAAAAAGTAACTTTTAAGTGCGCTTAGTACCACCTGTGGGGTTTGTTTTGTTGTCTTTTCTTTCTCCAATGGGTAGTGTGCTGAGCTCATTCAAGCATCTTGAATTTTACATTTAAGTAACAGTATATTGGGTTTGTGGAAGCCACAAGGGGCAATAAAACCTGCAGAAGGTTGCTAGTATTTTTATTTTTTTTTTATTTTTTTATTTTTATTGTTGCAGATAAATGAATAAGAGCAAATTACACATGCATAATACCTCATGACATTATGCTGAGCCAAAAGCTGACATTATATAGTTTTATAGATGCAACTAAACTATAGGTACTGGTAAAAAACTTGTATTTTGGCTTACGTGTCACAAGTCAACATGCATATAAAACAATCAATATATAAATCAAAGTCTATGAAATAACTCTATATCTTTACTCCTTGGGATAGAGCTAAAACACAATAGTTTTGTCACAGTTACAATCTATTGGCCGATATACATTCTTACACACTTTATAATTTTTTCATTTGTTCAATTCCTGTAATTTTAGTTGGACTTTGCATGTTAATATTCTGTTATTTCTGAAACAAATTATTCCCAGAAATGTAATATCTGTAAGAAAAAGGGTGCTTCAATTGGATGTGTAGCTCCCAAATGCAAACGAAGTTACCATTTTCCTTGTGGAATACAAAAGGAATGTATTTTCCAGTTCATGGAAGACTTCAGGTAAGTTCTGGGGTTTTGTTGCTTTTTCATTTTGAATTCATATTTATACGGGAGGTGATTTGTTTTTTCATGGATTGTCATTGGATAGGCTTTAAGCCAAGGGAAGGTGAGGGCCAGGAAGAGCTTTCCCTCCTGGCACCTTTGGTTTGGGAGCAATCTTTGGACATTTTCAATTTTGGAAGTGGGTTTTCAGGTGAATGCCTGGGAGATGGCATAATTATAGATTGCATCAGATTATCTAAGGAAAATATCTGGTTTGTGGAAAACATGAAGGACAAGCAGTTATATTGCATACCTGGTACCTATAAACTAAATTCACAACACTTGTAAAGATATAATTTAGTGCTTCTACAAGTAGTTAAATTGTTTATAAAATTGAGCATTAAATCCTAAACGCTGAAATAAACTACAAAATGGTTGGTTTTGGTTTTTTGTTTGCCTGCTTCCTGTGCCTTTGTGGAAATGGCAGTGGTTTAGCTGCCTCTCTCAGCAGTCAAAACACACTGTGTGCCGTTCCATCATGTTTCAAAGCACATGACTCTTCTTGGAGGTGGACTACAGGAGAAATGTGTTTAATACCAAATGTCTAAAAAATGTTTTATCTTCTTTTACTGTCCAGCATCTTGGCTGTAGTCAAAAAACGCTTGAGTGCATTTGGTAATGGCTTTATTCTGCCTACTGTAAGCTGAGTTTGTAGGGTAGGTGGATTGAAGTCTGGCAGACACTTTAACTTCTTTAAATAAACAACTCCGTATTAAGTCAAGCACATGTAAAAATAATGCATTTTCAGAAAGGTTTCTTCTAGAACTGGGTTTCTTGGCTGTCTTATTTGAAAATATCTTAAGTTATAAAAGTTATCACACTACCTAGACTCTGTGGAATCAATATGCAAACTCAAAATTGCTCCTTTAATGTCCTGATAACACTGAAATATAGGAAGAACCTGAGGTTATGAGGACAGGAAATGCTTTATTTGGACCAAAAAAAAAAGTTTTAAGAGAAAGGGCGTATGATCTCTGTAATTTACAGAGCATCAGTTGGCGACATGTTTCTTCCTTACTATAGTTCTATTGACTTGCTCTGTTAGATACATTATTTGTTTACATGTGTGTTGTGGTTTAACCCTGATAGGCAGCGGAGCACCACACAGCCGCTTGCTCACTATCCCCAGTGGGACGGGCAGAGAACTGGAAGGGTAAAAGTGAGAAAACTCGTGGGTTGAGATAAAGACAGTTTAATAGGTAAACCAACAGCTGCATGTGCAAGCAAATGAAAATAAGGAATTCATTTACTACTTCCCATCAGCAGGCAGATGTTCAGCTATTTCCAGGAAAGGAGGGCTTCATCATGTATAACAGTTACTTGGGAAGACAAATGCTGTCACTCAGAATGTCTCCCCTTCATCCTTCTTTCCCCCAGGTTTATTGCTGAGCTTGACATTATGGTATGGGGTATCCCTTTGGTCAGTTGGGGTCAGCTGTTCCAGCTGTGTCCCCTTCCATCTTCTTGTGCACCCCCAGCCTACTCACTGGTGGGGCAGTGTGAGAAACAGAAAAGGCCTTGATGTGTGAGCACTGCTCAGCAATAACTAAAACATCCTTGTGTTATCATCACTGTTTTCATCACAAATCCACGCAGCACCATACAAGCTACTATGAAGAAAATTAACTCTATCCCAGCCAAAACCAGTCCATGTCTGCCTTTTCAGCTTGTTGCACAGCATTTATTCATGAAAAACTGATATAATGGGGAATTCATTTTGCTATCCTCAAATTTTATGAGGAATGTTCTTAAAATGTTGTTTTGATAAGGGAACCTTAAATTATTATTTTTAGATCTTACTGTTGGGAACATAAGCCAGTCCAAAAGTTTCCAGATAAAGAATCTAGAGGAACTTCAGAGTGTACAATATGCCTGGATTTGGTTGAACAGCTTCCAGTGTACACTGTATTGAAAAGTCCTTGCTGTAAAAATACTTGGTTTCATCGAGAATGCTTGCAGGTAACACAGGTTCTCCCATTCTTTCTTCTTTGTATCCATGGAGATCACATTCTTGTGTTTAAAAATAATGGAGCAGTTGCTTAAAATCGTGTAAAATTGCTTAGGGTTAAGGTGGGCAGTAGGTATGGAAATATACTAGGTTTGAAGGACAATGCTAAAATTGTATTTTGGAGACTAATGTCTTACAAGAAGGATTTTTTTTTTTTTAATGCTCTTAATTTCCCCCCCATGTTTCTGCATGTGTGATACACTTCATGCCTTTAGTTATTTTTAGGCACTGAAGTCCGGCCTAGGTGGTTGCCTTCTTGAAGTCATTATCTGCAGAATCTAAATGCTAAACATGTTGTTTATCCATCATCAGATTTCTTTGCCTAAGTCCAGAGCTGGAAAAAGTTATAAGGTTCTTTTTGTAAACTCATTCTAGATCTGGAGAGGTTGATTGAAAAGGATTATGCTTTTGTTTATGAACCTGATTCTAGCATGTGAGTTCTTGTCCTTTAAAGGAAGAGAAAATGCTCGCCATTTGCTTCAGTGTTAAGTGACATCATGATTCATGTCAGCTTTAACATCCACGTCAGGACAGTATCCATGAATGTAATGGTTATAGATTATTAAGACATTGTTTATTGGCATCCTAAGGATGGTAGTGATTCAATAATTGGCTTGGTTTTTTGTTGTGTTTTTTTTTCTTGACACAGTGTCAAGCTTTGAGTGCTGGGATATTTTTCTTTAGGTGCGCAGTATGTAATAACAAGGACAAATTTCAGAAAGAAATGTTGAGAATGGGCATACACATTCCAGAAAAGTAAGTAATTTTGTAAATAATCACTCTTTCTAGAAAAACTTTGATAGGGTGTTAAAACCATTTTTAATTTATTCTGTAGAACTGCATCTATTAATATGTGAAACCTCAGTTCTACCTTCGATGAATTGTTTGGTTTGGTAATGTTAGTTATGCATAAAAATTGTCAAAGGCCAAATTACTAATCTCAAACACAAAGCAGGAAACTCTGGAAAAAAATCATTTTTAATGCCATGATTCAACCAGGGACCTATTAAAAAACTCAAAACACTTATTAAATACAAGAATTTTGCATTAACATAGAGGTTGCTGAGAAGTGTATTTTCCATGCTCAAGTTTTTAAATGATCTGAATATCTGTCCAGACAATATGATAATCTACTGATTACTCAGCCATACAGCTTCCATCTTCTCCCAGGGGATTACTAAGGATATGTTTAGTATAGCAACTGCTTCTAAAATTCTGAGCTGTTTTTCATAAGGTTTCCACCATTTGATGGGGCTCAAAATAAGACGGAAAGTGATCAGAATGATGTTTCTTTGTTAGAAGTATTGTTCTTTAATAACTGTTAGTCTCTTCAGAGAGTACCATTAATTCCCTCCAGAGACGGAAGGTCAAGATTTTGGAGAGGAAGAAGAGTCAAAATACTTGATGAACTTTGCTGTACTGGCCTGGAAAATTCCAGGTTACTTTTTATGAGACCATTTTCAGTGATAACTTAAGTAGACTGCCAAAACAAATATCCATGTGTGCTGGGAGAGAGAAAGCAGAATAATATGAAATGGAGCAAACATGCCCTAAGGTCATGTGAAAAATAATAAATACTTTAATCAAAGTAACTGTACACAAGAAAAAGTCTGTGTATTTTGTAGTATTATTTTTGTTCCTAGACTTTTTTCTTCCCCCTCTCAGTTGTCTAGCTGTTGTCTAGAACATTACATGATTGAAATAGCTTCATGTGGTTATTACATACATCTTTTCCAAACACAGAGTAACCCATTTAAACAATTGGAAATACAGTTGTAATAACAGATCTTCTGCCTTGTTTATAGGGATGCATCTTGGGAACTTGAAGAGAATGCATATCAAGACCTACTGCAATGTTATCAACACTGTGACATTAAAAGATGTCTCTGCAAGAAAGGAAGAGACTATAATGAACCTGATAGGTATGACAGTTTTGCAGGAAGGTATAACCTAGGATGGAATAGCTCTTCGGTGTTTTGGTGGGGTTTTTATTTATTTAAATGCTTTAATGCTTTTCAGCACCAGATTTTAATGTCAAGCCAAGATACCGTGTCCAAGTAAAATGTTTGGTTTGTTCCTTATAATATTTCAATACTAATTTTCTCTAATTTAATCAGGTTATAAGAGCCAAGAAAACCAAACCAATTGATTATCAGTTATCTTGTCCTTGTTCTCATTTTGATACAGAGCTGAAGCAGAATTTGTATATCCACATAGCATGTAGAGTAGCGTGTGCCTAAACTAATGTATATCTTTCATTCCAAGCTTAATTTAATAATTGTTAGAATACTTAATAGCTTTACAAGAAATTCATTACAGTACTAGACTGAACTGAAAATTAGCTAGCTGTATAAAATCAATCTAAAATCAAAAATCTGCATGCAAATGGCAGCTAGAATATTGCTGACAGCTTAATGAGAGGCTTGAGTGATCATTTGAAAGGCTTTATTCTCCTCTACCACTTGCTTAGTTTTGATTCACACGTCCATTTTCTGCATTCTTTCTTGTTTTATTTCTGTGCTTCTGAAATGTATATCTTCCATTGGCATGAGTATAATCAAAGCTGTCAGAGCCTCTACTTTGAAAACTTGTTTCTGTAGTACTGTGATAGGTTATTCCCTGTAGACATTAACTTTGCTTTGTACAGATTTGACCATACATTGCTTGGTTTGTTCATGGTATGTGTGCACCTTGGCATTTACTTTACCTTTAAGAGTTGTACCTTAGACTTCCAGTATTTGAACTAACATCTCTCACGTTGTTCCATTCCATTGTATATTTAAGCAAAATCGAAGAAATCTAGACAGAAACCTAACAGATACTTAAACACTGTCATTAATGAAGAGTCTTATTCAGAATGTGTAAGAATAATCAGATATGCTCCTTTAGAAGATTTACCATTTGGAAAAGCTGAATGGTGGATACCCATAAAATACAGAGGATGTTGCTGACTAGCAACATGAGGAGAAAATACTGGCTGCAAGCTATTGACTTCAAGGCAAGGGAGCACACTAAATCATAGCCTCTTTCAATACGAGGTACTGGAACATAGATAGCTGTTTTTTCTTGTTGCAGCCAGGAATTGTGAATACATCTTGTCTGAAGAAAGTTCCCCTTGATTATATACAGTCCTACCAGATTGATAAAATTATGCTGTGTCAGTTTAGTGTCTGGATTACACTTCCTGTTGAATATTCTTTGTTTTACCTAGCCTCATTCTTCTGTCTGATTCTAAATACATAAGTTTTTTAATTTTAGTAAATGGGAAATAAAGCGTTGTCAGTGTTGTGGTTCCCGTGGAACTCATTTGGCCTGTTCATCTCTGAAGTCATGGGAGCAAGACTGGGAGTGCATGGAATGCAGAAGTATCCTTGCAAAATCAGGTAAATTTATGGATGTGACAGTGACTTCTTAAAATGATGAATTTCAATACTGTATGTTTTACAGCTAGCAAATTCACTAAATTAATATAATTTAATCATACAGGGAACTATAGTAAACAGAAAAAGCGTTCTTTGGCTACCTCTGAAAAGACGGGTGGGACAACTTGTTTGCTCGAAGAGCCATCTCCAAAGTGCCCTCGGCAGTCACCTGGACCTCAACGCAATTTTCTTCTCCAGTGTGTAGTTTTCCATTTTCAAGCAGAAACTGATTATAACGTAACAATGTATTTAAACATGAGGAGATGATGGCTTATTCCATAGGAGGAACTTCTTACACTGAATAGCAAATTGAATAAAATTGGAGCAAAGTTTAGTGACTAAATTTTTCAGAGTAAGCTGTGAACTCTGTAAATTTGCTATTGTTATTTGCATTCAGTGGAATGTAAGCCAGTTTTTAGTTTGGTAAAATTAGATCCTTGTAAAAGGAATCTTAAGAATTTAGAGGTAACTTTGAATGTACAAATGGCAAAATTTAAAGCTAATGTTGCTTATCAGTATCTTTTCCATGTTAATAGTGTGCTAGAAATCTAGCTTACAGAGATATTTACATAAATAATGTTTTCCTCCACTGTAATAAAAACTTATCCAAGTCTGTAGAAACGAATATTTGCTTACTGTACAAGGACTTCCATCTCATTTATGGGTTGCAACTAAAAATGGCTTCTAAGACCTCCATATAGTGCTGAACTACTATTTTTAAAACTGTAGTTCTGTAGAACTGTAGTTCACTGATGGACTTCACGTAAATGAACATACAAATGAGATTGAGTACTGAAATAGGGGGAAACTATGTTGCTATCTTCAAATAAGAAGTGTTTATGCATTCTTCAATTGTATCTCTTCTTAAAATACTGTTTTGGCTTATAGATCACCAAAGATAATGTGCCAGAACAACTTGTCACCCTGCTCACACCTAGAACTTCCAGCGTCCAACAGAGTGACGGTGTCCTTGTCTCCACTGATGTCAAACAGGAACTGGTCCCCGAGAAAGAAGTATTTTCTTCTGTTTTTCTTACATTGAAGAGTAATCTATCTAGCATATGGCTTTATACAGTATTTCCTACAGAACATGGTGTGTGGGGGTGTGTGTGTGTGTTCATCCTCCTGGAGAAACTGGCAGCTCAT